GTCGCCGCTGGGGGCCGAGCCGGCCGGAGCCGCCGGGCAAGAGAGACATGGCTGAAAGCCTTTCCTGGGAGCTCGGTGTCTGCACGGGTTAAGGCGTGCGAGGCGAGGTGGAAAAGTTGCTGTTGAATTTCACTTTAAGGGACTGGACAGAAAGCAGCGAAATGGATGACTTCCACTCTATCTGCCTGCTGTCTCTGGCCATGCTGGTCGCCTGCTATGTGGCAGGAATTATCCCTTTGGCAGTTAATTTTTCCGAGGTAAGACAGCTTCGCCAAACTGTTCGTTGGTTGCTATGGGAGAAACTAGACGGAGGAATTCATGCTGTCCCCTTACCAGTACGGCAGTGCTGTTAGGGGTGGTGTAGCAACTTTAAAAGTTTTTTGAGGAAGTTGTGAATGCGATATTAATTTTAATTCAAAATCACAGTGTAATGTTATGCTTGTTCTACAGCGTGTATAAAAGTCATCTTTGAGCCAAGCGTCTTCGCTACAGATGAGGCGAAGTCTTAGCATGTAGTGGAAGGTCATGATAGGAGCTGGACGTGGTTATTCTTAGAAGCTTATGTCAAAAACTACTGAAGTCAGATTAACTGTTAGTACGTGTCTATGGGCTATCAAATTAGGGCTTTTAAAAGCAATTCCGAGAATGTTCTCAAAAAATTGGTTTGGTTCCCAATTTTGTTCACAGTCTGTGGTGCTGAAAATTAAGCTTTAGCTCTTTGATTACATTGCAGCTTCAAGCTACGTTACTGTCCCATGTAACTCAAGGCATTATTTTAGAAAAATATCTTGTATATAGTACTATATTGTTAAAGGAGAGAGAGGCTTTCATAGATTGAATTAATTCCCAAGCAATACAGGAGTTTAGAAGTAAATGTATGTAGGTGCTTCTACAAAACGATTATTGAGGTGAGGATGATTGTCACAGTCTCTTAAAGTCTCCTAATAACCTCTGATGCCCGACGGGTTTTTCTCTTTCCAAATGATTGTTGTATAGAGGTGTGGTGTAGTGAGACTTTAGTTGTTCTAACATAGTAAGAACTCTCTTATGAGGGGTTTCCCATTTCTGCTGGGAGCAGTGCTGGTTTTGGAAAGCAAAGTGCTGGAGGAGGTGTGACCTGTTCCTGCATCAGATCATAGAGCTGATTGCACCTGTCTTTTGGTCTTGTTGTTATCAGGAGGCTTTGGGATTAGTAGACCCTGAGCAACATGGAAAAGACTGTTCTTGTTGGAAATAGTACAATTCAGTAAATGGATCGAAACATGGCAATGTATTCTGAAGTCTTTACATAAACATTAGCATAGTCCTGTTTTGCCAGTGCTTTGTCTGATGCTTTGATGGACCTTCCTTTGTATGTCTTCAGTGCTGTCGCTTCCACTGTCTTGCTTTTCAAAACTCACTTTTGCTCTGAAGCTTATGAAGTATTTTATTGCAAATTTGCTGAGAACACTGCCTAGCACTCTAATACTGTATCTTTTTAAAATTTAATCTTGCATTTCCTAATATAGGTACGGATATTCACCTGTTGTCTCTGACTTTATATTCAGTGTTGTTTGAAGGTAGAGTTCTTGATCTGTGTTGATGTGGTTTGTTTATATATAGTTGAATCAGTGGGCTCCTAACAGCTATGGGAATACAGATATGTTGTAGATCCAAACCCAGCACTCTGCATAAGCAGTATTCACGTACTTATTAGCCTTTTGTGTCCACAGTATTTTACCAACAGTACACACATGCAAAATCAAATTTACTGTTGTATCTTAAACTCTCAAAAGTTCTTGACTCAGTTTACAATTGATGTAAATTAGATATTTTAAGGATCCACATGCTATTCTTGTTTAAAAGAGGAGCAGAATCTCTCTGCAAATTATGTGCAAATTCTAACTACTGGAATTGTTCTAGTTTGGAGTTAGAATTGGTTTGTTTTAAATGATTGCTTAGGGCTCTGCAACAGGGACAATTTCAAACTGAAATGACTGTTTGGACTGTGCATTCTAGTTTGCCAAAAGTTTTGCAGATGGCCTTGGTGAGGAAACATTTCTCCTCCCACTTAACCACTTATAGTGGTTAAGACAAAAATGAATGCTGTACATAATATACCCCAGATGCTGGAGAACAATAAAATTATTCATTAGTGTTAACACGTTCCTTCAGATGAGATTTCTGCCATGCAACCTATCAGTTGTGTTCTGATTTCATGCTAGTTTCTATTTTTTAAAATTAGATTTGGATATTCTTGATAGTATAAAACTCCAGCAAAGCCAGACATGATTAAACATTGGTGGTAAAAAGGTACAGACTGAACAGAGCTTCACTTTATTTCTCTGTGCAGATGTACCCTCTTGGCTTAATCCTAATTTACAGTACTCTGTTGGGCTAATTTTGGGTTGGAAACAACACTATACCCGTTCTTGAAGCTATCTCTTAAGTTGTAGTCTAAATGTAAAAAATAAATTGAGTTCTAGCAGTTTGAGTGTTGTGCTGGTATGACAGGCAGTATTGACTTGAATGAGACTGCATGCTGCTGAAAGTGAGTTTTTGATAGGTCCAGGTAAGAGTGTCAGTGCCATGCGGATTTAAACCAAATACTGAGCAGTGGAACACCTTGCTAATTTGAGGAATTTAAGATTTTTTGTCGTGTTTTTTAGCACTATTTATTGTATTGCTTTTGTTTTTAACAAGAGAGATGCAAGTGTTTTTGAAACTGAAATGGTTTCATTTCCTGGATAAAACTAGATTACTTTTGCTTCTCTGAGTAGGCTGCAGTTCTTAGATTGCAGTGGTTTGTACTGAAAAGGAGATGTAGACTTCTCTCGAAATAGTAACTTGTTAGCATATATTATTTTCATGGATCTTTAAAATTCACAGACGCCCAAATGAAAGCATGCAGTACTCTGTGTTTGCAGTTGTAATAAAACAGTGTTACTTCTGAAGCTTTTTCTCCCTGTGTGTATGTATGTAAAAGAGATGATAGTGCTGCAGTATAAAAATAAATCTTGTTTTTCCTTGTAAGATACTATATTTTTGCAAAACAACTTTGTGAACAGTGGGTGTTGAAGATTATCTGTTCGTTTAGATTGCCACTGTATAAAAAATTTACCAAGTAGAATTATTATATATGCCAGTATGCAGTGCATGTTTGTGGAAACTTTACAGGTGTTTTCATCTCTTCCATATTACTGTTTGAATTTCCCCCAGTAATGCTGTAATTGTTTCCTTATGGTCACATTTGGCTTGCTTTCATAAAAGTAGTTTTGCATCTCTCTAGGGCCTTCTATTTCTTCTGTGCAAGTGTTGCCAATTTCAGTGGTTAAACGACTTGTCATTACAGGGCCTGAAGGAGAATGGATGGCATAATAAGGATAGGCAACAAGTGGTTACCTTTAGTCAAACACTGACCTCTGTCTCCAGGTCCTCAGTAGTTAATGTTAGTATTTTGGTAGCACCCAGACATCTCATTGTGCACAGAGGATGATGATGGTTCTGCCGCAAAATGTATGCTGCATAGTTGTTACAAGGATCTAAACTCCCGTGGTTGCTACATGTGATAGAAGGCTCTTATGGAAACGATGAGAAGCAGCCTCTGCAAGTTGTCATATTTTTAGAGTCTATTAGATGTTTATATAATAGTATTTTTATTACATGGCTTTGACTTTAGCCTGTCAATGTTGTAGTCACAAGGAAGCAAAAAGTAATAGGTAAGCTGTTCTTATATTGGGAAAACAGAATTTAGTCAGTTTGTGAGGGGTGAGGGAGGAGCAATAAATATCCCTCTAAGCTTTTTGCCTAAAATTAGACTATAACTAGGAAGATTACTCTTACTAATAGTAGCAAGTACCTATAAACTCTTTATATGTGTGGTTTTTATCTTGTAGAAATTTTTCCTGAAAAATGAATGAAATTATTTTTCTTTAATATACTATAAAAAGCATAAGGTTTATATATTTTTGTTAAGGTTTAATTGCAGTTTTGCAATACTTAAATAGCAAATTAGTTTCAACCTGTCTTTGCAGAGGGGAAAGGAGATTGCCATGGTCTGTAATTACGTGGAAAGTGGCATATAATTTTTATATTGCCCTAAATGCCTTTACAGTCTTTAACTCATTTTAAAATGCTACTGGAAGGCTTAGAAATGGTTGTAAAAACAAATAGCACTGTTCTGCATTTATGTGTCTCCTAATCAGATTAAAAAGAAAAAAAGATTGTAATGAAATATATATTAGCACCATTACAGTTTGGTGCAGTTGCCTCATTTAAACTCTCATTTGAGTAAGTCCTCTTAAATTATTTTTTATAATTTCAGTTTTGGACCTATTTTGGGGATTCAGTCCCTTCTGCCATATTTTGTAGCTACCTGACCCTCTGGAAGTGCTGTGATACTGTAGTTCTAAAACTTTTTAAAAAATTTTGGTTTTATAATACATGGAACACATTATCAGATCTTTCAAGTACAAAAAAAGTATCTTAAAATTACTTTTTTATCCACAGTTTTATCTTTTTAAAGAAAGTCTGTTCTTCAATGATACCCTATTAAATAGAAGGCCATGAAAGCATGGTGGTATTAAGGACTTCATATTAAGCTTCTTCACAAGAGTGGCTGTTAGGTTTAGAGACTGTTCCGCTATCATGTAACAGTTTAACTTCATTTCTGCTGTGTCTCTGAACCTGTAGGTGAAAGTAGAGCTCCTGCTGATTTTTTTTCTGAGATCTTTTTTCTTTCTGTAGTCCTAAAATTTTTCTTAGACCTTTTCTGTTATATAAATATGGCTGACTTAGTAGTTTTCACTATTGGTATCTGTAGATACACTATCTGTATTTGTATCTGTAGATGCATTTACGTTATTGGTTCACTTATCTTTCTGGTTTTGCTTTGGTAATTTAGTTTTTCTTTTGTTGTTTAGGTTGAATTTTGGGGGGGAACAGGCAATTCATCTTGAGCTCTGTCATATCTAGCAGAGATTTTAGGGAACTTGCATGTTTAAGTGTGATTTCTAGTGGGAAAGATATATTTGAAAACAAACCCAGAATTGAGATAAAACAGTTGCAAACATGCTTCAAAATTTAGGCACTTTCAGTCTATCTTTGTCTTTGCAGGCTTTACAGTTTGAAGCCCTAGAGTATGAATTAGACCCCAATAATCATTAGTGCCAAATGTAGCAATTCTTGCTCTCTTCAAGTATGCTACATTTCGTTTCTTGTCTGATGTTAACAGTCAGAGGGGTCATCCTTAACTTTTGTTTCCTGATTCAGTTGACTACATTGGACACCGGATATGTTCACTTTTCAAAAAGTTAATAATTTGAAATACAGGGCTTTTCAACTGAGGCTGTTGAATAGAAATCAGAAACGGGTTTTGTGGATCATTTTCTTCCCCACCCCTTCCCTCTGCCTCAACCTCTGTTAACGAGGGAGAGTAAAGAAAGTATTTTCATTCTTAAAGATGATACTTGTTTTGTACTTGCTTGCAGGAGAGGCTAAAGCTGGTGACTGTTCTGGGTGCTGGGCTGCTGTGTGGAACTGCCTTGGCTGTCATTGTGCCAGAAGGAGTACATGCACTTTATGAAGACATTTTGGAGGGTAAGAACCAAACCCAGATGGCATTGTTCAAGATAATTTAGGTCATGGTGGCATGATATACTGGGGCTTGTTTCTAGGGATTTTAACATGAGACTGGTGGAAGGGTTTCACAGCAGCATGACCCAAAATTGGCATAGAACCACAAAACTGCCATAGGCATGATGTTGCATGTTTATGGTGATTTGACAGAGGGATGTGATCATGCTGTGGATCGATGGCTCTTGTAGAGTGATCCAGGTACTGTTATGTTCATGGAACCACAGACTTTTATGCCAGTTAATGTGTAGTGTTCCTTATTCTGGGGAGAGTTAAAGTTTAACTTTCACTTTCAAAGGAGGTGTAAGGATGCCTTTGGCAGAGAATGGAATTGTGGACTACTTGCAGTTGCTTTTTGTAGTTTAGATTGCTTCTTATTAAAGCAATGGCAGGAAGCGTTTTATAGGTTATACATACTTGCCCTTGTAAGAATTTCCTCCTTTGAAGCTGAAGCGTGTCTTGGAATTAAGTTACCTTAATATATTTGGCTGAAAATTGTGGCTCTATAGGGCTAATTCACAGAGTAGGAGGCATTTTTTTCTTGGGTGATGGCATCTGTTACATGCAGATATCTGCACGCACTTCCAAGTTCAGGTGTCCAGTTGTAGTCTGCTGTTGCTGGTGTTAAAAACCTCATAGCCTCTAATGAACAGCTCTAAGCTGACAGCGATTATGTGTCTTGTAGGGATGTGAGTGTGGAGCACGTCTTATACCCAAAAGTCTTAGTAAACCTCAGTTTGAGGTTATGACATTACTATAGTCAGGGCTCATTACCTCTGTTTGGAGCACACTTTAAATCTTGATTTAGCTTGGGGTCTTGTGCTATTACATTACCATTGAATGTATGAGATTTTTCCAGTATGCTCAGAATCAGAAATTTGCCTGAAGGTAAATGGCAACAACTTAGTGGTCACAGGAGAAAGGACGAGAAAGTTGAGGCTGTAGAGAACTTTGCAAGCGTCTGATGTACCGTTGTTGCTAATCTGGGATTGAGAGATAATTGTAATGCTCTGCTTTTCTTGTACTACTGTTTTTTTGTTGTTCCTACACCGTTTTAATTTCTCTTTAGTAATATGCTTTAATGTATCCTGTTTTAGTTTCCACTAAAATTAGGTTGTTCTGTTTAAAGTAAACAGAAGATAATGTATAAAATGAAGGAACCTCTGATTATGCTTTTATACTGTACTGTAATTTGTGCACTGTAATGTAGGATATCTCTAATGAGCTGTAGTTCTGGATTTGCTCTCCATTCAATTTTAATTCCAAGTAGACTACATTTTTCTTGTAATGATATGGGTGGCAGTAAATACAATTGCTGTGAACGTTTGGAGTTTTTTTCCCACTAAATGGAGCATACTGTTCATGTATGAAATCTATAGCCTGCTGTTTAGAGCTGTATGCTCTATAACTTAGTTTAGTATGTGGAGAAAAGGCACTTCTCATTATTGCAGTAGTAATATCAGAAGTCTTCACCTAGGGAAAAAGAACTTGTTCTGTGAATTAATTCAGACTCAATACAGTATCATGTCTAAAGCCAGTCTGTCTGTAAAGATATTTTTTGTATTGCAAAGAGGCAAAATTCATGGGTATTATAGATATAACTACAAAAAAAAATTTCTGTATTTCTAAAACAAATTTCTGTATTTTTCTTACAAAGGTAAGATATTCAAAGTTAAGCTTAGATTGTGAGAATTTAAAAGCTTTCAGTGCTTTTTTTAGTTTTTTGCAAATTCATCCATTTACATAATTAAACCTAGAAAGGTGCCTAAGGGAACATTGAGGTAAATTCATGTAACTGGGAGGAAAAAAAAAGTCTTTGTTTTCCCAGTTCCAAGTGTAATTTAACTCTGAGACTGGTTGCTTGTTATCAAAACAGGTGGTTGTCATTGATACAAAAGTGATTTACTTCTCTATTTTCCCACAGGCCACAGAATAAATAACTCATTTTTGACCTTATAGGCTGAGGGCAAATAGTGTATGATGATTCAGATTATTATGTGGTCATAAATTTATGCATGTGTGTAGTGAAATTTTGGCTTGATTATTACCAGCAAATAAAATTCCTTTGATGACTTCAGTCCTTTGTTTTAACTGGTGAAACTGGATAACCGCTGTCAGAAAGATTGCCCTGACCTACCCACTATGTTTTATGGCTTGAAATAATCTGAAGCAAAGTTAACTTTTTAATACAGATTGCAATAATCTTGTGTGGTCTAAAGTTATTTTCTTGATCAATCTTGTTCAGCAAAGATATGTTTGTTTCAAGGGCTCCCAAGCTTAATCTGATGTGCTTTGTCTGTAGTAGTGGTATTGTGCCAATGTTTTGTACAGTGAGATGGATGTACACTTGTGTTTCATCCAATATAATGTATGAGTACTCCAGCAAGAAGATGACTTGCTAAAGTCAAGTTTTTGCTGTTAATGTCTAAAACTTCTGAAGAGTAGTTGCCAACCAAAAGACCTCCCCAAAATGACAAGAGTTTTACTTTTGTCACTTAAGACACAGATGTTGGGAAAGCCCTAATGTATGCTGTGCTTAATTTTGTTTGTTTCCATTCTTTTTTAAATAAAGTTAAATGCATGAAAGTTGCACTGTTACTCTCCTTAAAAAAAAAATAAATTATCTAGAGTGACTTCAAAGATGCAAGGTTGAAACAAGATTATTAGTTCTCTTATGGTTAAATGTGATAAAAAGTAAATTAAAATCAGTAACATTCATAGAATCAGAGAATGGTTTGGGTTGGAAGGGACCTTAAAGACCATCCAGTTCCAACCCCCCTGCCATGGGCAGGGACACCTTCCACTGTCCCAGGTTGCTCAAAGCCCCGTCCAACCTGGCCTTGAACACTGCCAGGGAGGGGGCAGCCACAGCTTCTCTGGGCAGCCTGTGCCAGAGTCTCACCACCCTCACAGGGAAGAATTTCTTCCTTGTATCTAATCTAAATCTGCCCACTTTGAGTTTAAAGCCATCACCCCTCGTCCTATCACTACACATCTTTTTACAAAGTCCCTCCCCATCTTTTAAGTACTGGAAGGCTGCTATAGGGTCTCCCTGGAGCATTCTCTTCTCCAGGTGAACACCCCCAACTCTCTCAGTCTGTCCTCACAGGGGAGGTGCTCCAGCCCCCTGATCATCTTGGTGGCCTCCTCTGGACCTCCTCCAGCAGGTCCATGTCGTTTGTATGTTGGGGGCCCCAGAGCTGGACACAGCACTACAGGGGGGGGTCTCAGGAGAGCAGAATAGAGGGGGAGAATCACCTCCCTCAACCTGCTGGCCACACTTCTCTTGATGCAGCCCAGGACATGGTTGGCTTTCTGGTCTGTGAGCGCACATTGCTGGCTCAGAGTCAGTTTTCCATCCACTGATACCCCCCAGTCCTTCTCTTCAGGGCTGCTCTCAATCCACTCATCGCCCAGCCTGTATCCGTGCTTGCCATTGCCCCAACCCATGTGCAGGACCTTACACTTGGTCTGGTTGAACTTCATGAGGTTTGCACAGGCCACCTCTCCAGCCTGTCCAGGTCCCTCTGGATGGCCTATCCCTTCCCTTATGTGTTGACCACACCACACAGCTTGGTGTTGTCAGCAAACCTGCTGAGGGTGCACTTGATCCCACCGTCTGGTGACACAAAGATATTGAACAACACTGTTCCCAGTACTGACTCCTGAGGAACACCACTTGTTGCTGCTCTCCACTCGGACATTGAGCTGTTGATGACAACTCTTGCAGTGTGACCATCCAGCCAATTCCTTATTCACCAAGTGGTCCATTTGTCAAACCTATGTCTATCCAATTTAGAGACAAGGATGTTGTGTAGGACAGTGTCGAAAGCTTTGCACAGGTCCAGGTAGATGATGTCAGTTGCTCTTCTCTTATCCACCAGTGTTGTAACCTGTTGTAGAAGGCCACCAAATTCGTCAGACACAATTTACAGTTAGTGCAGCCACGTCACCAATCGCCTCCTTATTTTCCATCTCTGCTTTCTGAAAGTCATTGTAGTTAGACAATGTCACTGTTAGTAACCTATGAAATACTTGAAAATGTTTTTAAATCATGAACTGTGCACCAAATAAAGCATTTTATACCATGTAAGCCTAATTTAAAAACTGTCCAGCCATCTTCTTTCCCCTTCTTAGGTTTTAGGAGTCATTTGGAACTCACCTAATTTCAGTGTAGCTCAGTGAGACAAAGTAAATGTCTTTGGCAGGGCATGGAATTAAAGTTTTAATAGGGAAAGGAAATAAACCACACAACATTCAACCCCAGAGCTTGGACTTTGGGTTTGTAGAATGGTACTGACATTTGTAGGACAGTGTGCTGACTTAACTGTTGTTCTAGTCCATATCAATGGAGTGTATCAATGCTAACTTGTTTAACTAGAGACTGATGTTACTTTGAGATATAAAGTTGATCATCTTAAAGATTATGTTAGATCTCTTAGTGGTTGGAACCTATTTTATTTCTTCATCCTGTATTTTCTCATTTAAGATTATGACTTAACTGCTTGACAGTATCTCTGAATACTGACAGATCTGGCAACTTCATTTAAAAAAGGGATTTTCTGGCAATTCTTATCAACAAATTTCTATTTAAAATTCAGCATTTACAGTAGCCTGTCTTATCAAGGCTTAATGTTCTCTTTGCTTTTCCACACTGAAGTTGTGTGAGGGGAGGCCAACCAGGCAAATGTGTGTTTTCCTCAGAAAATGGTCTAAGAAGGATGTTAAATGAGGACTTCTGTGTATTGTCCAAGAAAGCATGAGGAATACTTTTGGCAAAGGAGGAGAAAAGGGACCATGCCATGTTTAGTCCCGTCTCCTAATCCATTTGCTTGCCTCCCACAGGGAAGCATCACCAAGCGAGCGAGATGCAGCATGTGATTGAGTCTGAGAAAGTAGCGGAAATCCCAGTTGTACATGAATATGGCCATGACCATTCCAGGTTGCATGCCTACATCGGTGTATCCCTTGTCCTCGGCTTTGTCTTCATGCTGTTGGTGGATCAGATAGGCAGCTCTCATGTGCACTCTACAGATGGTAAGTAAAGATTCACTTCAATTGCACTCACTTGCAATTTTTTTGAATGCTGTTGGGATTTAATTTGAGCAGTCATGTCCAGAGTTTCAGCAGGCATTTTAGAAACATAAAGCAAGGTCTGTGTGCAATGTTTGTGCTGGAAATCTATCCTGGAATTCAGCATAATTTGAGAGCTTGCTTTGCTAACATGAAATAACTGTGCAAGCATGAACAGTGTGGAGTGGAGGGTTACTTGACACTTGAGTTATTGTCTGTTTTACAGTATCACCCATAGGGGATTTCTTTGGCTTTCCAAAAAGCTTCAGGTTAGTCTTATCTTGTTTGTTTTCCTACTTAATTGTCATACATGTAGGTAAAATTTGCAACAAACAAGAAGTTATCTTAAATTACTAAATGTAAGCTCTGTTCCTTTACTGTAACTGCACAGCTGGGCTCACACACTAGTCTAGAGCCTCACTAGTGTGAGCTTAGTTCAAAGATTTCTCAACTTTATTGCAAGAGTCTCAAATGCCTACAGCTGCCATTGTTTCCTGCCTGTGGCTTCATGCTCAGACTGTAGCTTGAAATACACTAAAGCTGTTTTGTCATCTGACAAGGTATTTTATTGCCTTTGGCTGCTAATTTTCTCTCACATAAATTCCACCATCAGGGGAGATTGGTCCTCAGAAATTAAGGAATTGGTCTTGAAGGAAAAGTAAAACACACGCATACAAAGGAGAGGGGATGTGTTTTGGTTGGATCCTTGGCAGTTCATAGTGCATCTGTGCAAGTGCTTGGATGGGGTTAGTGTGGTGGGACAGATGGGAGGCCAGTGCAAGGGCTGTGTCACCTTTGTGCTCCTGGAGAAGCATAAATGGAGCCACAGCCATGGCTAGTTGTTTTCCAGAACTTTTCGAAGGAAACAGTGGCAGTGAGGATGACAAGGGGAATGCAGGTGAGCAACTGCTAGGTGAATCCTTGGTTTGTACAGGTTATGACCCTTTCCTATGTCTGATCAGAGCAAGTACCAGGAGAAAAGGGGGTATGATCTGTGTTAGATATACACTATAAAAAATAATACTAAGTAAAGTTTCATCTAGTCTGTACCTCTGTCACAGGAAATGTAGTAGTATTTTTGTGAAGTTTTTTGAAGCTACCAAAGAAAAACACTTTTTTCTCATTTGAACCAATGTCTGGTAGCTTTATTATCTCCCAAGTGGCTAGATTTTAGTTTGTCTAAACTAGACAGATTCTGTAGGCCAGAATGGAGGTATGAAATCAAATCTGACTCTATCTTTGAGTATGTTTAGTTCTGGTCAATCCAAAACAAATTTAAAGGAGAAGTTCTTTGTTAATATCTCCTCCTATCTGACATGCAACTTATGCAATTAATTGCTAAATAAGGTCCTCTTGATTCAGAAGATCCACCTGACTGAACAGAATACACTAGTTTTTGGCCAGCTCACTTCCCTGATCTGACTCACTGGGCAACTACATGGGTGCTTGGGCATGAAGAGAGAGACTGAAGGGTGGGAGGACAGGCAGGAGGAAAGGAACAGAACTGGACTTTCCATTTTGGTGGCTTCGCAGACTTATTAAAGTAGTTGTGTAAGTGTGCTTGCAGTCAGTTTACTGACCACTAACGTATTAAAGTAAGGGTTGTTCAACTGTTTGGAGTTAAGCAGTTGAATAAGATGTTTTTATACTGGTGTAGGATTTATCTGCCCTGTTCATTGCAGTGATTCTTTGTAACAGTTTTATTGTGGTGGATATTGTCCTTTGTGCTGTGTAATGAGGTGACCTGCAAATGTCCTCAGAGTAGTTGTCAAACAATTGCACTCAAAACACCTGATAGCAAGCAGCACTGACTGCATTTCACCTCTGGTGTATAAGGTTGGAGGAAACTCTTTGCAACTGCTGACATGACAAGTAGAATTTATTACTTACTAGGAATTGCCAGAGAATCAGTGCAACAGAGACTGCTTCAGACTGTCACCAGAATGAAAATGCCAACATTGAACCATGTGGGGAAAAATCATCCTGACTCTTGGAGCAGCTCTGGTTTCCGGGGATGCAAAACTAGCTTTCCTTCCCCTTAGTAGAATAGAACTTTTGGCTTCAGGATGTTAAAAACAACTGCTTCTGCCTGTATCAGTGATCCTGTAAATTGCAAAGAGTTGTCTGTGATTCTGTGCCTTGTTTGTTGGCAGAACTTCAGGTGATTTGAAGGTATCAGAGTATTGTACAGCAAATCTAATGCAGAAATACAAAAATTGGTAGTTTTGAATATAACTGCTTAAGCAGCTGGTAGATACGTGTGCAGTGATACTTACAATTTTTCTTCCAGCATAATATATGTATTTGCTCTTGTTATCCTAACTTTTCCTCATGACCGTTTCAGATCCAGAAGCTGCAAGATCGGGCAACTCCAAAATCACCACAACACTGGGACTAGTAGTCCATGCTGCAGGTAATGTGGGACCGATTGTTAGCACTTGACAGGGGCTTCTTTTGCTCTGTGGCTCTTGGGTTTTGTTTTTGAAGGTGGCTTTTTATACAAAAAAAACCCCAACAAACCAAGGTGGGGAGAACTAAGGATCTTCCCCAAAACTTACTGGGAAAACATACTCCAGTGCTCAGAATGTTCCATGGAGTTTTATTTGGAAAGAGTATTTTCACTTGTTTATTTTTCTTGTCTGAAAAGTTGTGGGACGTTCACTCTCTGCCTCTTCAATTCCTTTGCTGGCTGCTTTAGCTGCTAAATTTCAATACATGCTAACATGTTTGATAAGTAGTATGAAACACCTTTGGGTTTGCTTGTCAGTTGACCTGTGTTTTTAAAAATAATATTGGTTAAAAAAATATTGTGGAAAAAAGCACCTTTATAGGGTGGAGTGAAAAGATCTGACTGAAGCACATTTGGGCTGGATTTCAAAGACTGAGGAAGTTACGCATGTGTGGCAGTCATCCTGTGTTCATGGTGTAATTCTTCGCTATATGTGTGTAGTATAAATATGATGCTTTTTAATCTCTCCTGCTGAAGGTTATTGTCTAGGTAGGTCATAAGATGTTGATCAAAAGATATTTTTTCACTAAATGAAATGTCTGTATCTTAAATATAGTATCCATTTCCTATTTCATTTAGACAATATATTTATGTTAAATGGTAAAAAAATAGTATTTACAGTAGTATTTATATCTGAAAATTCATTTAAACGGTAGCAATTAAAATTCTTGTAATGCTAGAATCTGAAGCAGATTTTTAATATTTTGACAAGAAGCCATTTCTACTACAGAAGACTAAAATAACTAAACTTGTTACCTGGTTTTAATTTGTCACAATGTGTCAATACTGAATAGATTCTCAGTATGTTTTTTGTAGTCTTGGAAATACAAGACAGCTCCTGTTGAGGGTTGATTATCCTGAAATTGTGGCTTTACAAACAAAAGGAAGTGAATCATGTGTGGGGTTGGTATTGTTAATGGCATTTTGAGTAACAGGACTTCTAAAATCAACATGATTTGTACTGTCAAGCCATTGAGGGGTTGGGAAAGCTGAAACTGATGTGGAGCAATAATCTGTGAATTTGCACTCCTGTTTCAGCTGATGGTGTTGCATTGGGTGCAGCAGCTTCTACTTCTCAGACTAGTGTCCAGTTGATAGTGTTTGTTGCGATTATGTTGCACAAGGTAAGTCATCCGAAAAAACCCTTATTTGTTCTTTAAAAGACTATTAAAGCATACAGAAATTACTAAAGTCCTTAAGTTTCTTTAGTGGTGTAATATGGAAATGTGTAATGCCCTTGAAATGACAGGTTAGTAGTACAGCTTCAAGGATGCTTAGTTTATGGCTATTGCCAAGCAAAACTTGCTTTTATTATCTGTAATGTTCAAATTAACTGACTTGTGAAATGGTACAATTTTAGAAGGAGAAAATTTCTCCTATGAAAGATTATCAAGAAATACTTGGTATGGAAAGAGAAATGTTCTACTCTGGTGTCTTTTTTTATTTTTCTAGGCTTCTGATCCTGATTGATGCTTTTGTCTTTCTCATCTTTTTTTCTTCACCCATGGTTTCCTTCTAGGCTTAAAAAAAATTTCTGTGTATAAAAATTGCTCAATATATTTTAGTTTGTCTTATCTCAAAAATGTCAGGGTGGACTGCTATTGTCTGTGAGCAAAAATATAGTAAATTCCATGAGTAGTAGGACAGCAATGCCTTGTGGATAAGAAATTGAATGCCAGCAGAGGGAGAAGGAAGTATTTGTTTACTTCCCAGTGGGAACAGAAATGAAACTGAATGATGAACTACTCAAAAGAGCTCTTAAGTCTTTGTTCATGTGGAGGCTGACAGTTATCTATCTTTGGGAGTTTTTCCCCCCTCTACATTAACTGTAGAATTTTTCTGCTGTAGATAAACTGTCCATCTAAAGATATGTAGTTATATCAGGATGGAAAAAGAAAATACATGAGTTAATGGAGACTTAGGGGTTATAGCAATGACTCAAGTCCGATTGAACGTCTTAATATTTATAGTGACTACAGAAATATGTGAACTCTGATAGCCAGAACAGGAGTTTTCATTAGGTACTGTTAATAAGGTAGGACAGTTTACAGAATTCTATTGATTTGGATTAACTGCAACATGCTTGTGCTCTCCCTGAATTTCTTCCAATTCGGTGCATTTCAATGTACTAAGTTGTATTTCAACTTTATCTGAGATTTCGGGGGATTTTAGAAGGTATTGTATTACCAATGAATATTGGTTTTGCAGGCACCAGCTGCCTTTGGCCTGGTTTCCTTCCTGATGCACGCTGGGCTGGAACGGAATCGAATTAGAAAACACTTGCTGGTCTTTGCGTTAGCAGCACCTGTTATGTCAATGGTGACATACTTAGGGCTAAGCAAGGTAGGTCTGTGATTTGTTCTCCCCAAAACGTAGTTTAGTGGTGGAGTTTGGGGAAATGAATATCATATAAGTTTCATAGAACATAATTCCAAACTGCTTAAAATTTAGCAGAATGGAGAGAAAAAGGTAGCAATGTGAAAGTGTGAAACAAAAAGTAACCCATGCTTTCCATCAGAGCCAGTGATACTACTCCTCTAGAGAGTTTTATATAGCTTTTTTTAGAAGGCTGATTTCTGTCTTCTCCTTTCTGCCGCTCCCTGCTGAGAACAATTTACTCATATAACAGGTTTTATCTGATGACTATATAACTGAGTAATTTTCAGTGTTGCTGCATGTATTATTATTTTAATATTCAGGTAGAAAATAATCTTTGCTGGTTTCTCCTGCCATCCCAGAATTGGCCCTGTATGTTCAGAGTCTTTTTCATTTTGTGTCAGAAGTTGAATCCTCAGCTAAAACAGCCTTTTTGCTTCTCATACTCCTTAAAGCATAGTCTTGTCTTGGCTCTGTATTACAAATGGCCCGTGAAATGGGCCACTGCACGTGAGTGTATCATCTCTGTCCAAATTAAATGTTTTTGCTTCTAGCATTTCCTGCGGCACTCCTGTGTTTCCAACTGCCTTGGGCCATGCTGGCGACACACTATGGTGGTGTGTTGTAAAGAATCTGACACATGATCTCATGAAACTCAAGGCATGAGAAGAAAGATTAAGTAAATCATCAGGATTAATCCCTTTACTTGCTGGAAAAGAGTTATATTTGATATTGCAGTACAGGAGGCAGCAGAAAGGGTTGGGTTTGTAAATAGAAATAAGAATGCTGTCTGAGCATTCTTTTGGTGTAGGCTTACTGAGAGTTGGTTTTGCATTTTGCACTTCAGGACGAACAGAGAATTGATAAGGCATAAGGGCTGTCACAGTGGTTGCATAGTTCTAGAGCAGAAGGTGTATCCTCCACTCTTGGGAGAAGTAACCAGAGAACTAACATCACACTTGAGTTGGAAATTATTCAAGAAGCATTTTGAAACTGATATGTGTGGGTTTGCATTTCATGACATTTAATGATGTGTAGATCTTGATCCTGGTGTGAATGTGAAGAGATGCTCAGTTTTGATCCAGAAGATGCATTTCTTTATGAAGTTTGCATGAAAATTCTGGAAAAGTTTTGGGTGTTTACTCATTACATACAAATGTGATATTAAAGGAATGGTGACTTGGGACTTAAATCTAGCAAATCTTGCACTGACCAGCAGGGGACCAGATATTTAAAGCCAACTTGAACAATTTGTGTAGAAAAAGGAGGTTAATCTTGAGCATCCTTCCTAAAAATTTGTGGCTTTTCAGTCTGAACTTTTTCCAAAGCACACTTGTCATTTTGACATTTTATATGTTGCTATGAGATGTGCTTCTGCACAGGCAGTGACTTTCTTCTTTTGTAAAGCTTCCTAGAAGTCTGAAGTTAACTACGATGAGGCGCATCTTTTTGCCCCCCCCCCCCCATCAACTTTAGAATGCCAGTTGCTACACTTAAGGTGAAAGACACAAACCAACTCATTAAACCACTGTCATTGTGAGAGAACAAGAGTTGATAGAAGTTCTCCTGTGTCTGGAACTTACAGAATTTTTTTATTATTGGTTGAAGAACGTCTGCTTATCCTAATTTTTTCTACTCTTTCTGTTTTTCCATTTCAGAGCAGCAAAGAAGCCCTTTCAGAAGTCAATGCCACCGGAGTTGCTATGTTGTTTTCTGCTGGGACTTTTCTTTATGTTGCTACAGTTCACGTTCTCCCGGAAGTAGGAGGAATTGCTCATAGCCATAAACCTGAATCAACTGGAGGAAAAGGACTCAGTCGTCTGGAGGTGGCAGCCCTCGTATTAGGATGCCTTATTCCTCTAGTTTTGTCCATTGGACACCATCACTAAATGCTCGAATTTCACTGGTCTCCTCCTCGATCTGACATGAGCAGTAAATGTTGGCTGCTCCCTTTATCATTGTCTCTTACCATCATCCATCCCATCCACTTTATGGAGTTCAGAGGGAACCTTGATTGCAAAATGAGGAATACTGGCAAAGTTTTTAGTGTAGCAAAATGTACTTTGGCAGCCGGACATAAATTCTATGTAACTTTCTTTTCTGAAGACATTTGCTATTTTAATTGTTACTTCTGGCCCTATTCTCAGGGAAGATGGAATTTGGAGTTTAAGAAAGGTGAGCAGGGAAGAACATAGTGACTCATCACAAAATTGCAATCACCAAAGTATCCTGCAATTCAGTTTTCACAGCTGAGAATAAAAACAAAGGATGGCTGCCTTCTGAGAGGTTGAAGTCTTACTAATGAAGAAGGGGGCTCTCCCCCATTGGTTCTCTGTTGTCCTGACAACGCGACTGGTCCTTGTGATGTTTGTCACTAATTGTATTGCAGAAATGGGCTGCATTTGGAACTCTGGATAACACTGCTATTGTCACAGAAGTGTCACTGATAGGAAAGAAATTATGCAGACAGCATAGGATTAGAGTACAAAATGAGCTGGTTAAGAAAGTGCAAATGAATTTTGCAGTGTATTCCATTATTTACGACAAGGGATGGAAGCAAGGAGAATAGTGTTTTGATTATTCATGCAATTGTGAATAAATTTTTAAAAGGCAGTATTTCTTGGGAGATGGTCTTCTGCGAAGTCAGTAAAGTATAGGCACCAAAACTGTTACCAGGAATTAGGTATTGGGTACTGTGATTACACTACTGCTACTGTCGAGAGAGATACCCATAGTGTCCTTCGAAATTGAGCTGTTCTGGGCTCTGAGGAGTAGAAATCTAATGGAGACAGCTGTTGAGGGACTAGAAAACTTCACTAGCTCATTTTCAGAAGTCTGAACTGCTGAAATCTAGGGGTGTATGGCTTTTTAAAAACTAAATAAAAGGTATTAAGGCTAACAAGACGTTTAGTTACATATTTATACTGCAGATAGAATTCGAAGTGTTTCTAAAGCAGTTCTGAACAAAATAACCCAACAAACAAAAACCCAAACTGGTGGGTTCCCAGTGGACCTGTTGGACATTTTTGCTTTTCCCTTGGGAATTGTGCATTCACCTCTTACTGATAAACATTAGTTTTGGTGAATCTGCTAGAGGATTTATTGCTAACTGCTGATGCCTCTCACTGCAGAAGAGTGATAAAAGATCTCTCCCTTTCCAAGGCACAGCCTTCTCTTGTCAGGAACCATTTCTCTTATGCAAAATATATTATACTCTAATAACTGTAGTGCATTTGAAAAGTAATAAATGTTTGACATGCACAGACTCAAGATAAAATTACTTCTTTAGGGGAAAACTTTTTAATACCGTACCCTTTTTAAGCTATACTCCATCTGCACTTTTTAAAGATAACATTGCCAAATAAATTTTTCTTTTGATTTTTTTTTTTTGTTCAAAATGTATTTTCAAGGCTTGAAATATCTTCTTAACTGAAGTGCTTCTTGTTTCCATTTGAATGAGTGTCTCTGTTTTTCATGTGATTTATTACTTATACTACCCAGGCCATTGTGCTGCAATTCTTTACATTTTTGTCTTTGTCCTGTTTGTCTACTAGCTCAGCAATGGGTATGGTCTGGTTCTTGGACTAGTGATTGCTTTGTCTGTTGGCTTGGCAACAGTACAGGGGTATCACAGGATTGAACCTAGTAGTGATCCCCAGGATTGCATGTTTATTTTTGTGTTTTACTATATAAAATCAATGCAAACTTGTTAGAAATCATATATTTCTGCAAGACAGTATTTCCAGATAGAATTAATGTATCATGCCTGAACAAGCATTTCTGACACTGGACCTTCAAAAGTGAATTCTGTTCTGAAAAGCCACTGCAAAATTAGTGATGTGGATGAAATCTTCTCCTGTACATTTTTAAACTTTTTTTTAAAACATGCATATGCAAACTAATAAGTTACCTGTTTAAAATGTTTGATGGTACAGGTTACTGACACATGCAAATGATACACAGGGATGTTTACACCAGAGCTCCCAGTGTTCTTCCTGATTTCTACCTAATTATCTTCTTTGATAATGTCACTATTTTACCTTGCTTAATCTTTCCACATAACTCTTTCCAAAAGCTGGAGAGTTTGCAAGATTTGCAGTGGAAGCAGGAGATAGCTTCATGCAGCACCAGATGCTTACATTTTGTAAAACAATAAGGTTTTTTTCTTTAAACTGTCATCTGGCACTTGCACGGCACCTCACCAGTTAAACTGACATCCTGACTGTGTTCCACTTCAGCCTCATTTTGTGTGTAACAATAGCAAGGGTTTAGGGAGATACTGAGGTAAGGTCCCATTTCCAGCTTTTGTTCCAGTGTTGGAGCGTGTGGGCAGTACCTTCTTATATGGATTGATGTGTACTGATGGCAATGTGGCAGCCAGCCTTTGCACTGCTGACATAACTTCTGGCATATTAGTCATAGGAGGTGCCACTGCTCAGAGGTCTTGTTGTCTTTTTTTTTCCATCATACCAGGCTTCCAGTTTCTGGGGCAGCCACCAGAAATGTTAATACTTGGTTTAATGATTCATGAACTGTAGAAGCCAAGTTATAGCAGCAGGTGAGGGATTTTAAATGGAAACATTGGCAACTTAAAATTGGCACAAAATTTCTCATAACACGTACTTTTCACTTTGGCACTTGGTTAAGTGATAGAAGACTTCTGTGTTTTTTTGGTATTTTTTTCCTACCCATTTTGAAGCAGCAACAGCATTTTCTTTTGTCTGTCTCTGTTATCTGTGGTGAACTATTATTTTTAATTCTGTAGCTGAATCTACAGTAACTAAGGAAGCTTTTGGTTATGTGATAAGGAGAATGTAAAATTTCAAGTGATCAAACCTTTCCAAATTGTTAGTTCTATGGGGAGGATTATTTTCTTGAAGCAGAGTATTTTAATGAGTTAAATAAAATGGACCATTTTATCATAGCCCTTTTTTTTTTTTACCTATCTCCCCATCTGTCACAGTAAATCCAAGCACTGCATGTAGTCAGGGCCATCTGGCATCATTTTCTACTCCTCAGGGGACCGTGGTGCAAACAAATTCCTCTTATTCTCCCTGTAATAGCCATCTCTGCCTGTGTTTTCTACTGTGAGGTAGGTGGCATCAGGTCTAGCAGGTAACTCCAGTCATGTCTCCCCTTTCCTTCTGTAAATCCCTCTAGGAAATCTGTAATCTTCTTATCAGATGTTTTTTTCGAGTTAATGATTTCTTAATTGGTGATAGGAATTGGACTAAAGCTATTTCCATTGATCCCAGTGTGTTCAGGTGCTTTACCTACTGTTCCAATTCTTTTGTTGTTCCTTATGTAAAGAGGGGAAATATTTCTTTTACAGCAGCTGATGACAGATGCAGAAGCTGCATTGACATTTAACTTAAGTGAGGATGGCAGAGCTGTCACACCAAGATGGGAATTTTTGATAGTTGTGGCATGTCAGATGGCCAGGTGTTAAACACAGAAACCTGCTGTTGACTTTCAAAGAACCATTTCCAGGTGAATTGTTTAAAAGGCTAATGTTACCCAGGAGACCCAGGAAAATTACTATGTTTGTTCAGGAACTCTTTTTAGTTCAGAGCCTTTCAGGAGCTTTTGACAGTAGCAGATGTGTCCACGTGGTATCAGCTCTATGCAGAATAAGAGAGAGATGCTATGGAATAAATGTTGCTGCTGCTCCCTTCCCGTTCTGTGCTGGGACTTGGGAAGAAGAGGAGGGAAGTGTATTTGTATTATTCTGGGGGTGGAAGAAGGAGGAGTAGTTGCGTTACGGTGAAAAAGTTTATGATGAATTTCAGACTCTTTATGATTAATTTCAGAGTCCTGTTCACCTCAAACTTATTTTATTTTTTTTTTCCCTTACTGTCCTTTTATTACATCTATTAGCAGCCTTGGCTTTCCGGGGAAAAACATTGCGTGGTCATTGCTGTTTACCTGACTCCATGTACGGGACTGTAATTTTAATGTCTCTTTTTCCAGACCATTTGTACACAAAATCATTCCATGAATGGCTGCCTTATAATTTTTCCACTTTAATTGTGAATGGTTAAAATAATGTTGCTGTTTTCAATTTGTTTTATTATATTAAATTTTTACTAGGTGCAGTGCTTCAGAGTTGGCTTGTCATTTACTGCATGGGGTTTTGTGACAGCTCCGACAAAGAGAAATGACAGTCTTAAAAATGGGATGCAAGCTGTGCAGACAGTACATTTTATTTTTGTATAAGTGTGTTTGCTGCTTTTCTTCATAATGTCTGAGCACCTCATGCAAACGTGAAGTGTGAAACTGCTTGTTGGGAGGCAGTCTAGCAGGTTGGTTTGGACAAGCGTATGATTGGGTTTAGAGGTATAAATACAGAAATGATTTGACATCTCTGCTTGAGAGGCATTTGACAACTGTCTCCCACTGTGTTTAGGAGTTGGCATTGCCCTGAAGCTATCTCTTCCCCCACCCCCAGGGGAATCTCTGAAGCTTACAAGGCAGAGACCTTTGGGGGCCATAAGGAGGTGATTGGCTCAAGATGGCTCCAGGCCACACTTAAAAGGCTGAAGGGCATGTTGGGGCTAAAGAAAACGGCACAGGATTGAATGAAAGCAATCTTGTCAGCCCCAAACCCAAAATGCAAACACCGAGTCCCTCCGTTCTTTTTGGAGACTTTGTGATAAAGTAGCCTTTCCCATATATATGTGCTTCTGTGTGATTTAGAATAAAAGTCAATCTTAAACATGCATGCAAAGATGTGAAGAAAACTCTATCCTGCTTTTGTTTCTGTGTTAAGGGGAAAACTGGTGGTGAAATCTCTCTTCTATGTGTTCTGTGGGTTGGTGGGTTGTTTTTTTTCCTCCCATCTTCTTCCTGTTTTCAGGCACTGAGTCACAGCTCAGCTTTCCTTGTGACTGCCCCATGATGCTACTGCTTACCTGTTCATAGCTCTTCAGTTTAGCTCTCAGGGTTCACTATCAACAGGTTTCCTGGAAGGCAGTTTACCTTCTTCCTGCAGGGTACAATCAAATGAAAGCCTACATTTAAGCCATAACTACACAAGGTTTTAATGCTAGTCATGGCAGTCCTTGTAACTGAGAATGGATTGTGTTCTTGCTGTGAAAAAAAATTACCTTTACAGGCTTCTGAACTTCTCTGGAAGGGTTTTATTTGCCTCTGACATAATTTTGAGTTGCAAACAATAGTTGGAAATTAAATTTTAGCAGTGGTCTCTGAGACGCCCAGGCAGGGGATATGAGGAGAGCTTTGAAAATTAATTTTGTCTTATCTGAACAAAACTTTCCAGGACAGTCTTTTTAAAAAAACTTTTCTTCCTATAGGAAACTATGCCATATTTTTAGGGTTTAAAGGTTTTATTCAAGACTGTAAAAAAAATCCAATCAGTTGCTCATTGTATACTGTGATTGTAGAAGGGGCAAACTTTCCATATAAAATATCAATATTTTTTTTTAAAGATGCAACTTTAAAAAGAACAGCCACAATTAAACAACTCTGAAAATGTTGCTTTACCAAATTTGGTTGGGACTGGATTTAACATTTTAAAACACATGTAGGGCACAAGTAAATTAATAAATTGAAGGGGCAAATGTGAAAAAACAGAAAGGTGCTTGCCTCTTGTGAAAGCATGTCCTGTTGTGTGTCTGCTGTTAGGGGTTTGTAAAAGAAAGTTAGTACCACTGCAGCATCTTATGCTTACTGCCAGGATTTAGGGAAAGGATGAGAATGGGAATTGGGATCCTTGAAAGAACTAGGAAGTTGACTGCCTATCACAAGGCAGTCCCTAAGGAAAGACCTGTGTAGGCTTGTCAGATCTGTAGGTAGATCTGTGGCATTTGCAAATAAGTGGTCTGAAACTGTCACAAAGTGCAGCCCAGAGCTCCAATTGTAGCGTGGTGGAGGCTGGGAGGGGACCTCTGGAACCATCTGATCCAACAACCCCGCTGCTGAGACTGCCTGGACACAGGCAGCTTTTGCAGATCTTTAGGGAGGGTGACTCCACAACTTCCCTGGGCAACCTGTTTCAGTGCTCAGTAACACATTAAAAAAGTGCTCTTGTGTTTGTGTGTGCCCACTGCCTCTTGTCCTGTCAGTGGGAGGCACTAAACAGAGCCTGCTTCAGCCTCTTTGCACCCTCTTTTCAGGTATTTGTGTATATTGATGAGAACCCTCCTATAGCTGCCAACTTGACATATTTCATATTCTTGCTCTTCATACTCTCCAGCTGCCCTGTAAGCAGGATTGGGTTTCAGACTTAATTTTCAGAAAAGAGAAAGGGGAATGATGCTGTTATAGGATGGGTGATGTGTGCATTTCCAAACCATGCATCCATTTAAGAGGTACCATTGATGGGTATTATAAGCAATTCTTATTTTTTAAAAAATGATTTATGTTTTTCTTCTGCAGTTGTTATCTACAGACTTATCTAAGATCCTGTCACTTTAACAGTGAGTTTTTTAGCTATTTCACTTAGGCCATAAGCAATCTTCTCAGCTATTTGCTTGATTTTGATTTTTCTGATAGTTCATAGGACTTGTGTGGTTAGGGAAAAGTGTAATCTCTTTATACAGGTTTAATCACCGGAGAGTATGATTCATATAAAGTCAGTAGGAGAACTGAAACAAATGACATTGTTGCTATTATAGCTAGTACAGGCAGATGCAAGGCAGTAAGGAGTGGAAGCCGGATAGGCTCTTGTTTTTTCAGCAAGTAAAATTCAGTTTTATTAATGAAGCATTATGCATTATGAAAGAGCTCAAACAAATGAATTCATTACAATCCTTGATTAGGACTAAACTGTGATATATGAAAGCTTTGCTTGTGTTTTGCTTCATTTCTATCTTTGTTCCCCAAGACTCCCTAACTGTTTCCTTAGGCCTCTTTGTTTAGGTAAGATTAAGACTCTCATTAGGCTTCCTACGTAAATCACTGATAACCGAGACTCAAGACCTTCAATGGACACTTGGACAGTTCCTGGAATGTGCAAACTAAGATAGGAGGGACTCAAACAAAAGGATACAGAGACCCTGTAATGAGGAGGATGATTTGTGCTGATTGAGGAAGAAGACACCTGGGCTTTACTTCACAGCGCATGCTCTGGAAAGGTCAACCAGCAAACACTGTGAGGAAGACTGCTTACTTCTTCCCTCGACCACGGAAGACCCCCAACAGAACTTAGGACACATGCTCAAAGGGTGTCAATTTATGTAAATGGATTCTGAGAACTCCTTATGATAAGACATCCCTTCCCAGGAAATCTAATGAATATGTATGATTTTTATGGATGTAAACCGATGTCCCTTACTAACTTGGGGGAGCCCTTATGGTGGAGAATCCCCAGGGACCCCAGTGCTGCTACTAAAGAATACCTGCTTAACAGTAACAAACTTTACTGTTGAGTCAGTTTCTTTGTTTCAGTTGGTGACCCAGATGAGACCCTCTCTGCCTGGCTACAGGACCCATTGAGATTGGACTCTCTTGGGGCTTTCTCCAGAGAGACTCCTCTCCTCAATTGGATTGCTGAGGGGACAGACAAGGGCCATGAATCTAAAGGTATTCTTTAAAATTTCTTTTGGGAAAGTAGCAGTTCGGAGGTATTGGTTGTACAGAAGCTTAACAGTTACTGAAATTTGGTTTTGGTTTTGGAAGTGGTTCCTTTGATAGCTGCCCATCAGTTGTTACTGTTTTAATGCAGGGTTGGCATATGCAGGACTGCTAGTGTCTGAATACAGATAACATTTGGTAACTTTGTGGTGTGAGTGCCTCTGTCTCCTCAGAATTTGTAGAGTGAATAGAAGTTTGGTAAAATACTTGTTTGCATTTGGTAACTTTATAAGCTATAAGGTCACCTGAAAAGTGAACAGATTTAAGATTTCAAAGTTTAACAGCTATTGACTTGCTTTGTATCTTGAATTTGCATGATTGTGTGTATGAGCGAGATGTGCAAATAAGTATGAAGCAAGTGTGGAGTCTGGATCTGTGGTTCTGTTATCCCACGAGGGACACAGCCAGAGAAGGACGAAGTGATTGATAAAAAACTGTTTTGATCTTAATATGTAATTTGGAATGAATTTGGGAATCCGAGGAGTGTCTGTTACACCCAGAAAATGACTGTAAACCCTTATATATTTTAGAATGTTAGTGGTGAAGAAAAGCTGTGTGTCGAGTTTGAGCAGGATATTGACTGCCCCAAGTTTCAGCTCTGGACTCCCTGGGGAAACCGACAATGCTCTTCATATGTGGTAAAAGTGGTTTGTCGTTGGAGGAATAGAAATCAGACATGGGAGGTAAACAAAGTGGACTTTTTCTTTAAAATTCCTCCAACAGGATGCATTTTGAAACACTGGAAGGATATAGGAGGGTCCCCAGATTGTGTAACTAATAGAAAGATTCTAATAAAGTATTGTAATCAATGGTGGCCATTGTATAAGTTAGAAGATGGTGAAAAATGGCCCGGAGATGGTACTTAAAATATGATACTTTGCTGCAATTGATATTATTCCTACGATGAGAGGAAAAGTGGGATGAGGTGATGTATGCAGATGGGTTTTTCACTTTCAGAAACCATCCTGAGCAGCAGGAGTGTGGCATTAACTTAGCCCCTCAGGATCCTCTTGTATTGACACTAGAGAAAGAACAGAAAAAGAAGCAGGACAAGCTGAAATGGTTGTGTTCAGCATGTAGTATTGGAGAGAAGTGCTTAAAAGATTGAGAGGAAAAGGCAGAAGGGAGAATAGAGGATTGTGTGTCCCCACCCCCTGAAATACTAGAAGGATTCCCTGGAGAGTGGGAAGAACACGGGAGAGGGATGGTGGGAGGTAGCGCTCCAGTCACTGCCTGGACTCGTGGTAAAACAGGTCCAGGTCCAGCTGTACAGGCACCAGTCAGACAAGTGATGGCGCCAGGAGGAACCACCCGAATTAAAGTCCCCTTTAACGTGAGTGGCTTGGACGCTTGGAAAGAGGTGGTGAGAACCTACCGGGATGACCCACCAGGGGTCGCAAAAAGATTTGAACTAATAGTTAAAAATCAGGACCCTGATTGGAAAGATAAAGACTTAATGCTAGATGCTATGACAGAAACAATTGGTTCTGAGAACAGCTCGTACTCATATATAGGCACAAATTACTGCTAATGTCTTGACTGGGGTAGTTGATCAATATGTTCCCCTGGCTGACCCAAATTGACTTCCAAACAGTAACACCGACTATTGAATGCTAAAACAATACCAGGATTGGGTAAAATTTGGATTTGAAAATGCAATCCCCAAAGCCATAAATTGGTCGGAGTTATATGCTGTGAAATAAGGTCAAACTGAAACCCCTGCAGAGTTTTTAGATCAGCTGAGAGCTGCAATGCGCAAATATACCACTTCAGACCCCTTGTCTGATGTGGGGCAGTAGCAATCGGTATTGTTTCTGGGACAATTGTCTGAGGATATTAGAAGCTTCAAAAATTTAAAGAACCAGAAATACAAGACTTAGGAAAGCTGATTGAGGAAGCTTGGACAGCATATAGAAATTGGGATAATAACGACGGGAAGAAATTGGGAAGGACAATAGCCACTGCCGCTGTTGCTGCTCTAAATCAACAGTATAAAGGTGGACCCACAGGGAGGGGAAACCAAGGTGGAATGTGAGGTCATGAAAGAGGGAGTTTTGGTTAGGGGACTAGAATAGAGTTGAAAAGCAATCAGTGTGCTTATTGTATAGAGACTGGACACTGGAAGAATTACTGTCCCAAGTTGGAACAAGATTCTCCAGGGTTTGGGACAATAACAGACCTGGAATTATGGGGACCTGGGGAATCTACCCTAGTGAATCCACTGGTTAAAATAAAGCTAGGGAACAGGGATAAGGAAGTAGAATTTTTAGTAGATGCTGGAGCCTCTTAACTCTGTTTTGAACCAACATTTAATACCTATGGACAGAGGTTGGAGCAACTGCCCAAACTGAAAAGGCTTTCTTTATGCAACCTATAAAGTATGAATTAGGAAAACAAATAGAGATACATAACTAACTTCATTTTCCTGAAGCCCCTAAACTGTTATTAGGGAGAGACCTATAAGAACAGTTAGGAGTGAAGATTGGGTTTGGTACTGAAGGAACTGAATTTGGAATAAAGGAAGAACAATTAATTGAAATATTAAGTTTGTCTTTGTTACAGACTGAAAAGGAGAGCACAATACTGACAGAAATTTTGGACCAGGTATATCCAGGTGTGGGGGCTTCTGGAATGCCAGGTAAGGCTAAGAATGCCAAATTAAGAGAAATCAAGTTAAAATCGGGAGCTGCTCTGGTGAGGATTCAACAGCATCCTTTGCATATAGAAAACCAGATAGGGGTAAAAGAAATTACTGATAAATTTTTGCAGTTCAGACAGTTAATTGAATGAGAATCAGAATATAATACTCCTGTCTTACCTGTGAAGAAACCTGATGGAAATAGCTATAGATTAATTCAAGATTTAAGGG